CAAATTTCAATTAAATGGTGTAACTTTAAAAAAAAGCTAAGCAAAGTATGGCATTTGGGCCAAATCCAGCCCAGTATTTGTTTTTGTAAATAAAGTTTTATTGGAAGACACCATGCTCATTTACTTCTGTCAATGACTGCTTTTGCACTGCCAATGGCTGAAATTAATAATAGCTACAGAAAATTATATCCTGATTGCAGAAAATCTTGTGAACTTTTGATATAGACCACACACACATCCTAACCACAGTGTAACAAAACAAGAAAGGCAAAAAATAGTTTGGAAACTTAAAAACACAATTGTAAAACAAAGACAAAAACAAAAAAAAAAACCAAAAAACCACAATTGTAAATAATGCATGTATCAAATAAGAAATCAAAATGGAAATTAGAAAATAATAAAAGTTGAACAACAAAAATAACACATAAAACTTTCAGAAAGCAATTTGAGGAATATGTACTTGAAAATGTATATCCTCATAGGATTTAACAGAAAGCAGGAAAGACCAAAGACTAATAAAATATGCACACACATTTAAAAGTTAGGAAAGTACAAGTTTTGACCAAGATGTGGCAACAAGGATTAGATATATGCTTAGGGATAAAATGACTAAAAAATTGGAGAAAACTTAGATCAGTGGTTTTTAGATATTGTACACAAGGCAAAAGAGTACGGTGAGCTCCAACAGATAGGAAAGGAAGAGATCTCCCTTCAGTGTCACAGCATATTGTCTGGGAGACATTTCAGGATGAAGTACAGAAGGCAACCCTGGTGGGGCCCAGTAGCCTTGGTGACTTGATATATATCTCACTTCTAAGGAGTGCAGAGGCTAGATTTCACCGGACTAAGTCACAGAGAGAAGAGAGCATCACATAGAGACATATCTAATAACATGGAGCTGCTTAATCTGTGTCCAATTAGAGTCCCAGAAAGACAGGAGACAAAGGCTGAGAAAGGAAATATTTTAAGCAACCACAGCCAATCCGCACACACAGAATGATGCTTGTTAGGGACCGAAGGGAGGGAGGGATGGGAAGTTACTGTTAAGGATGTGGAGTTTCGGATTGGAAGGCAGCTATGCTCACCAATACACCACCAATGTTGGAGTTTCGGATTGGGTGAAGGAAAAGTGTTCTGGAGATGGCGGTGGTGATGGCTGCATAACAATGTGAATTTAACAAATGTTCCTGAACTTTACTCTTTAAAATGGTAAATTTTATCTTATGAATATTTTTCCACCATAAGAAATGAAATAACGAGCCAAGTATAGTGGCCCATGCCTGTAATCCCAGCAGTTGGGAGGTTCAGGCACGAGGATCACCACGAGTTCGAGGCCAGCCTGGGCTACATAACAAGACCATGTCTCAAAAAACAAAACAAAAAAGAAATGCAATAATGAGGGGCTGGGGATTTAGCTCAGCGGCACAGCACCTGCCTGGCAAGCACGAGGTCATGAGTTCGATTCCTGGTAGCGGAAAAAAAACCAAAACAACAACAACAACAAAAAGAGATGCAATAATGGCCACAAAGTTGCCAAATTTGATGAAAAATCTATGAACCCACACAGATTTAAAGTGAACAATCCACAAGTACATGAAACCCAAAAAAGATAACACCAAGGCAAACAATAACAAATCTCTGAAAAACCAATGATAAAATTCTTAAAAGCAGCCAGGGAAAAAAGACACATTTACAGGCTGTCTGATAGTAGACTTCTTATCTGAAGCAATAGCAACCAAAAGATAGCTGAACAACATTTTTTAAATACTAGAGAAAAACTCTAGCAACTAGAATTCAATAACCACCACAAACATCTTTTTCAAAAAAAGACAATATAAACATATTTTCAGATGTGTACAGAGTTGAACAGCAGGGGAATGTCTAAAAGGAAAGCTCTTTTACATAGAAAGACACTGAAATGAAAAAAGTTGGAAAATAATATATAATAATACTAGCTGAAAGAAGCTGGAATACCTTTATTTATTTTAGAAAAAGTAGATATCAAAGCTAAAAATACTAGGCATCAAAAGGGTCAGTTTGTAACGAGAAAGGGATTAAGAGTTATCAAGAGAATATAACCATCCTTAAGCATTTTTCCACCTAATAAAAGAACTTCAAAGAATATGAAACAAAAATGATAGAATGGCAAGGAGAAATATACAGTTTTAGTACATGAGTTTTTGTTGCCACGTAACAAGTTACCACAAATTTGGCCCCTTTAAAAATCCCGCTTAGGGGCTGGGGATTTAGCTCAGCGGCAAAAGCGCCTGCCTGGCAAGCGCAAGGTCGTGAGTTCGGTTCCCGGTACCAGAGAAAAAACAAAAAAA